TTTTTCAAAAACTTTATTGTAGTGGATCTTAGGCACAATTTTGTTGCACAACATCGATTGTTAGTTCTTAAAACAATATTTAACAGTGCACGGCAATGTGGAATCTCATTTGCAATGATAAATACCCGGTCATTTGAAGATGACTTTCAAAAGTTTGTAAACTTTTTCTGCAAATTGATGGACGATCTGCATTTTTTTGCACATAAACTGCTTTAGTGTGTATAATTGTGTGTGTACTTTAATTGTAAATTTAAAAGAAGGCGAAACTCGAACAGGCATTTAGTACATGAGCCCCCTTTACCTAGTATTTGCAGTATCTGCAGCTAATCCCTTGATAATTTGTTGATTCATTGTTATCAGCGTTATAAAATAAACTGCACCGAACACAATAATATCACACTCAATAATTGATAAATCAAAATCACTGTCAGTTTAATAACGCAATGTCTATTTGAAAAGTTTATCAGATCTACAGATGCACCCGCACTAAGAGAAAAATGTCGAATTCAAAGTGCATATGTGCGTCCCAAGCCTCAGGCCTCAGGCGCGAAAAGGCCGGAGTGGAAGCCGCCGTGACCGAGAAAAATCGGTTCACCCTCTCATAAAAAGTTATCACTTCAAAAACATTTTCGATAAAATGCATTGCTCTAGTGAAAAAAATTGAAATGCTTAGACACAAAAAACCACCCTGATGCAGAAATTGCGCCAAATCTTGCAGCCAGGCCACTGCTGCAAAGAAACATCCATTGGCATTCCTGCCATTAAAAATTGACAAAAATCTCTTTGCCATAATGGGGCGAAATGAGTTGAAATCCCCATTTTTGTCCGCGCTCGTCGCTTTTGATTAACCCCAAACAAACCCGAACGTCACTAATAAGACAAAGTGCGGCGTAAAGCCTCCACTTGTCCGCACTTTGGCCTTCATGTAGAGATATAGATAACAAAAGGGCCAGACCCTGCGATAATAAAAGAAACTGCCCGTCCTAATAACGCTGTCATTCCATGGGCTCACACTCGGATAACAAAAAGGAAGTGCTTGGGAGATAAGCTGATTGCTGACAAAGTACTGGATGGACTCGGAAACTGGGAAAGTGGGGCTTTGATGCGAATAATAAAGCGCGACGTTTTTCCAATAAATCGAACGGTTTTATTTAGCGGTAGTTTTCTTTAGGCAACGGGACTGACGGTGGTGGTTGGTCGGGTGCCACAGGCCACTTCCGACGGATAGTCGCAACGTTTCAGCGAGTCGTCGTAGTAAAGTCCCTGCTGGCATTTGAACTGAAACGCTTTTCCATATGCACACTCGTAAAACGCCCCGCAATCATCAGGGTCCTCGAACAGGATCGGATCGGCTGGATCGTCAACTTCTGGACAATCTACAGTACGATAATTGCACATCGGATCCTGGAAAAGCATCCATAACTTACCTTGAAGGGCCGCACAGCCCCAAACAGCTACCAACAGGCACAGAAGCAACGCTTTGAACATCATCGTTGAAGCTATTTTCACTGATCAACGGCGAATTGGACTGTGGTTAGACAGTGAAGGTCGGCAGATTCAAGTGGATGTTTATCTGGGACACTCAATGGGATCAGATCATTCAGACGCATCGGCTTAATCGTACTTGATTTAATTAACCAAAACATGTAAAATACGATCATCAACAAAGTTTAGCTTACAACGAAAACACTATTTCCCGGAATGTCATCGTACAGCGGGTGCCTGGAAGAAGGTGCCACAGTTCCAACATTTCTGTGGCCAACTGTACTCAAAATCGAGACATTAATTAGAATTCGGTCTGATTCAACAGGAAATTTGCAACATTTTAGTCAAAACCGCAACGCGATATCCTGATCCGTTCCACAGTTAAGGAAGAAAATGTTGAGTGTTAAAAGCGCAGTCCGACGAGCTCGGCACAACAAAGACATTAGAGTGTAATGGAATAGAAGTTCAACTAAATCCAGTAGAGTCTTATGTAGTTGTTGACTGTTCTGAATGCAAAAAACGTTCCGAATTGTCTGAATTATTATTTTAATTAGAATCATCGTCAATGATTCAAGTAAATTTCGATAATTAGTTTTATTCAAAATTTAGTTCAACACCCCCATTAGAACCGAATAATGGATTTTGAACTAAATTTCGACATCCAGTAGTCTAATGTAATTGTTGTGCTAAAACCTTCAAACTCCATAAAGATGCAGCCAGTGAACTTCTTTAACCAGCATTTTCATCTTTATCTCAAGAACCGATAAAGAAATCGCCTTGGCCAGCTGAAACGCACCCTTTTCGGACACCCGATACAACGAACTAAAGTCAGCTTTTTCGGTTAAACAAAGGGACTGAGGAGTAGAAAAGCCAAACCACGTCCATAAACTACTGAAGGAAAAATTCTAAACAACTTTTCCTTGAGCAACCCTCCCCTAGTAAGGTGCAGTGTCCAATAGAAGACAACCAATGAAAAAACAGTAATTCTAAAACCTTCTGTCTGTACAAACAATAAATACTTAAAATGCTTACGTGGGGAGGAGGTGTCACCGCGACCTAAAAGTCGCCCCAGTGAATGCATGTTGCAAAACAAGTAGTTTTTTTCAATTTTCAGTTAAAGATACTCTAATATTTATAAGGGCCTGACCCACAAGAATATCACAGTTAAACGCCTCACAACTGGCGGATTTAGCCTGTATTGCAGTCCGATACAGGCTAACATAGTGGCAATCCGGGGGGTTTGCAACGGAAACTGGGCTTTGATTGGCTGAAGCCATCCAATGGTCGCCTGCCCAGGACCTCGTTTCAGTTCCGGATTCGAAAAAAAGGACAAATATCAAAGAAACGTCATCGAATCGATGAAAATGTGGGGTCTCACGCAAGACATATTTCGTATTAAAAAAATTCTACATTCTATGGATCAGACCAGACAGCTTATTACTACTCAGCGAAAGCCAATCAAATCTCAACAATCCACCTTCGGATGTGAAACAATCATCTGTCACGCACAAGCATAGTTGGCTCCGCTCTATACAAGTATACAATGAAATAGGAGTTGCACGAAATTTGAATCCATTGGCGAGCATTCGGAAAGACGGACGAAAGCGCAATCTTTAACTGCCATTTGTGCCTCTTTCATTTGCCGAGCCATTTTCAGCTTCGAAGATTTAGTCACTCAACTCGCGCATGGATCCTGTTTAGCACGATCTACCCTATTTATGTAACATCGAAATTTCGACGAGTTTTGGACGATTCGGCTCGTTTAGGGAACTGATCCGAGTTAATGAAATGACAACCATCCAAAAATCGCCAAATCTTTACATTTATTGTGTTATACAAAGCTATTAGTTGACCTTAGAAAGTAGTAGCTCGATCGGGCGCGATAATTTGCCTCCATTCCTCGCTGTCCACACATCCATTGTTCCATTCGCTCGCACTCACACTAATCTATGTACAATGTTTATATGCGCGTCTATCGCACCGTTCTTCGAACCGCCCGCTTCATTTTTCTCGGAGGCATTGAAGCTCCGTCTTGCGATGGTGCTGCTCTGAAATTAATTAATTAATAATTAGTTATTATACAGGGTTATTCACGCTATATGGCACGGACGTTTGCGGCTAGCCCGTTTGTTTTTTGCAAAGTATTATTTGATGAATCCACAGACGCCTATCGGGTGCACATTTTAAAAATA